CCCCACTACCTCCGACCTCACCTCCTCCACTACCTCCGACCTCACCTCCTCCACTACCTCTGACCTCACCCCTCCACTACCTCCGACCTCACCTCCTCTACTACCTCTGACCTCACCCCTCCACTACCTCTGACCTCACCTCCTCCACTACCTCTGTCCTCACCCCTCCACTACCTCTGTCCTCACCCCTCCACTACCTCTGACCTCACCCCTCCACTACCTCTGACCTGCACTCTTTCCACCACTTGCCTTTATCTCTTGAGTGCCCAGGAAGTTCGTCTTCCTCCAACCCCAGGCATTCAAGCTAAGACTCCTCATTCTCAGTCCTGGAGCCCCGAGTCCTTGGTGCCAAAGTGGAAAAGCCCCATGGGCTCCCAGAGTGCCTTGTGCAGTGCTCACACCTCTGATGCACTGCAGTAACGCCAGCATCTGGAGCTGCAGAACTCATTACAGCCTGTTCTTATAACTCCCAGGTCCCCACGACCCAGAGCAGGCGAGCTCCTGAATTCAGGCAGGTGTGACTGGCCTGGCGAAGCCCAGCTGTCTGTCCCCTGATGTGGATGCCAGGTCTGGGATGTGCTGCCACCCACAGCCCCAATGAAGAGCTAAGGAAGCCATCATTGGGACACAGTGCATGGACTGCAAGCATTATTGTATGATGTGGGAGTGATTTCTTATTAATAAAGAAACTGCCTAGGCCCCTTGATAGGCCAACCCTTAGGTGGGTGGAGTAAACAACAGAATGCTGGGAGAAAGAAACTGAGTCAGGGAGTTGCCATGATTCTCCCACTCCAGACAGACGCAGGTTCTTTCCTGGTAAGCGAGCTCGTGGGCTACACAGATTATTAGAAATGGGTTAGAACAATATGTAAGAGCTAGCCAATAAGAGGCTACAGATAACGGGCCAGGCAGTGTTTAAAAGAATACAGTTTCCGTGTAATTATTTCTGGGCATAAACTAGCCATGCGGGCGACCGGGTGCCGGGGACGCAGCCCTGCCGCTCCTA